CTAATAATTATTTGTTAACATTTTGGTTTGTTATCGTTGTACCAGGTTAAACATGTGAGTGATGTTAGTATCGATCCTTACCATCGTTGGGTTTCGATCCATCATTTTCTTCTTCTTTCATTCAAGAAATTCTTCTCTTTCGACGATTCCCATTTTCTACTTCGTTGTGTTAGTATTCTTATTTGATCCGTTTTAATTCGTCAGTATATTCCCATATGGCTCAAGCAACCAAAGACACTGCAGTTTAACGAATTAACGCAAAAGATAGATAGATAGATAGACAGATAGATAGGTAGATAGATAGATAGATGAGTAGATAGTTAAATGGATGGATGGATAGCTAAATAATTAGATAGATTATTAGATAGATTATAGAATACACGATACATACACAGATAAATACATAGAAAAACATGGCTTGATAGAGCGGGAGAGTCGATCGTTTTGCGAAAAGGTATATGTGTGTACGTGATACGTACTCTCCTATTATGTATTCTTTGTTTTCTTTTTTTTTTTTTTATTTAATTATATTCTCTTAAATACCTACTCTCTAGTAATCGCGATAATAATTAATATTAAGAATTAAAAATGTCTTAACGATTTAAAAGCTGCAAAATGAGATTAGATTATTATACACCCACCGATATACAAATTGAATTTCTGACGGAACGAAACTTAAAAATTGATCGCAAGTAAGAAGTTACATCAGTTCGGAGAGCGAGAGGATTTCAAACGACAATTCCCTTCGCAAAGGGTGCATTATTTTAATCGAGTGGCTACGTGTTTTTTTTTTTATAATTTTTTTTTTTACTCCTTTATCTTTTGTCTTTTTGATTTTGTGCTTTATTTGAATTTTACTTAATTTGTTTTGCTTATAAAGGTAGTATATCGAGCGTTGTATGAAACATAAAGGCGAAGGTTCATCTTGGAGAATATCTCGAAACAAATTAGACGAATTTATTGTGAAGAATATAATTGAATTATTTTTCGAAAATGATTAAAAACAAAAAAAAAACAATGCGAAAAATGATATGCGTATATAATCGTCCAATTTGTCGAAATAACTCTGATAAAACATGAACGCTAATAGCCGTTGATGAATAATCGAAAAAATCCAAACAAAACATAACAAAGTTATAATTATATCGTCCAATGATTAAATAGTATAACAATATAATATAATACAATATAATGTAATATAATATAATATAATATATATATATATATATATATATATGTATAGAAATATGGTAAACGTATTGCTACGATGAATTAATATCCGAGAAAGAAAATTTCAAGCGGCCAGAAATAATGTTAGTAGAGTTAGTAGAATTATATTTCAGCAGCGTATCAGCGCACGGAGGGCAGTAAGTATGTATGTTAGAACACAGATATACACAGGCAAGAACGACAGTGAAAAATTGAAGCTCGTACAAAACACCAACATTTCACTATTTATAATATAAAGAAAAAGTTATCGAGTACTTTTAATTTTGTATTGTATAGTATATATATATTTCTTTTTGCTCTGTTTTCTTTAATATTTTCTTTTGCAACGGCACGATAAAGTTTCATGGCCAGAGAGAGAGAGAGAGAAAAAGAGGAAGAGAGAGTGAGAGTAAGAGAGAGAAAGAAAGAAAAAAAGTAAGAGAAAGAGAGACGACGTTCAAACAAGAAGAATCTTTCGCAGCATCCAATCTCGAAGTGAATTAAATGTTTTATCAAAGAGTTAAAACTCTATGATGTTTATAAAGCATGAAAAACTAAATGAATTTTGATTATTTCAAAATATAGTATATAGTTGATTATACCGTTTAGATAAGTGGAATGAAAAAATTTCCAAAGAAACATAATACTAATGCATCGTAACTGTAATTGGTAATTGTAATAAGTATACTCTCGTTAGTTTTTAATATATGCGAAATAAAACGCGTATGTTGTACATTGCAAAGCTATGAAATAACATTTCGAGAAAAAAAGAGAAATAATTAAAAGAAAAAGAAAAAAGAGACAGAGAGAGAGAGAGAAATAATTATTTTGTTTTGTTAATTAACTCATACTTTAAAACTTGATGAGTTGAACTTACACTCGTATATAAATAAAAAATAAAAAAGAAAAGAAGAAATAAATTAAAATCCACTCCGCCTCTTGCTTTCATTGTTACTTTTAATTTGTTAATTTTGACAACGAGAATGGATGAATGGTTGGATCCTAGAACGGTATCTCTCTCTTATTTTTGGTTAACATATGTTAATTCCTCTGGCTACGTGAAAAACATCACAATCAAAGACGCGAATAAGAGCGTTTTTATTCTAAAAAAAAAGTCGTAAATATGATATGAAATAAATATCGCGCTAATTCTACGAATGTAAATTATTTGCTTAACATATATATAATAGAATAAAATAATTAATATTTATAACTCGACGATATATGAAAAAAGCGACATACAATCGGAAAAATACTATTTCGTATTGTTGCTTTTATTATAATTTCATTTTTACGATTTTCATTATTTTAATAATATAATAGAATAATTTTAAATACAAAAAGAGATAGAGATAGAGAGAAAGACAGAAATACAGAAAAAGAGAAAATGAGAGAGAAAGAGAAAGCGACACAGAAAGAGAGAGAGAGAGAGAGAGAGAGAGAGGGAGAGAATAAGAGTGAAAGAGAAAGCGAGAAAAGGGGGTTGAAAAAAAAAATAAGAAGAAAGGCATCAAGTATGGTATAAGCGCACTTTTATCGAGCTATATATATATATATATTATGTTACTACGAACTATGAACGCGAGTTTTTGTTTTCAAAATAAATAAGAAAAAAAAAATAAGAAAAAAAAATAAGAAGAAACAAACGCGACGAAATAGTATTTTCATCCCTTTTTTTTATCCGATTGGAGGAAAACTTATATGCAACGATCCAATGAAACGACCCGAGAGAATTTGTGTATGCTCGATAAGAAAGAAAGGTTTGTCTGGTTTTTTCTATATTTTTTTTTGAGAGAAAGAGAGAGAGAGAAAGAGAAAATTCATTGATTGAAATTTATTGAAAAAAAAGAGAGAAGGAGAGGAAAAATAAAGAAGAAGAAGAAGAAGAAGAAGAAGAAAAAAACACAGAAGGATAATAAACCTAAGAGAATAATGGACCGTGCGGGTAACGGACCGTGTTGACGCGTGCTGCTCGACAAATAAAGGCCAATGATCATCGGAGTCTCTCAAATCGTAATATTAAAAAAGAAAATATATTTTTTATTGGATCGTAAGAAATTTGACACGAATAAATGTATAATTTATACGCGACGAGGGGACACAACGTGTAAAAAGATATGTAATCTTATGTACGTAAATATGTATACATACATATGAGAATAAATATACGTGTATGCTGCGTGTTCGCACGTGCGCTTGCGATATTATATGCGAATATTCTGGAGACATAAAGACAATTTTTTAGTTTTCCTTTTTTTCTTATTCTTTTATTTCATTTCATTTTATTCTATTTTATTTTATTTTATTTTATTTCTGGTTTATTTTTTTTTTATTTATATATACAACGAACGATTTTCTAATATAATAAGAATAAAAACGACGGCTATGACGATACAGCTGAACCACGTTAATGCATGATATTTGTAACAACATCATGGAATATTAAAGCTAATTCCGATTTCGATTTTTTGATTTTTCTTTTCTAATTGATTTTATTTTTTATTTTTATTCTCGAGTCTCGATACACAAACCCCTACTTTTAACCCCCCGCTACAAAGAATCAAAAATCGTCGGCTGATGGCCAAGATACGAATAAAAGTAATTAAAAAAAAAAAAAAAAGAAAACGAAAATTGAATGATTTTAGGGTCATTTTTATAATTCTTTGGCTTTTTGGATACATTCGGTCAAGTTATTTTTTTTATATATATCGTAAAGTGAATTATTTAGAAAAGGGGATCAAGAATTTCTAGAAACAGTAAAACACAAAAATACGCGTTTATCACAATTGTTCTTCGTATCCTAAATAAAACCATAAAAACGCTTTTTATGGTAGATTTGTAAAGAATCGAACAAAACCTATGCGAGTAAGGACTAGTCCACGTTCTAATTTAAATCGACTTCTAATCGACGACGCTCGATTTCTCTGTGTGTACTATTTAGATAAATTTACATATGTAAAAACGTTTTTTTTTTTATAGAACTTTCTTCGGGGCAGATTAACCTTCGACGGGATCGCAATTTCATGTTCTTTTTTTCTTATTTGTTTTTTTTTTTTTTTTAAATTATTTTTTGGTCATTTTGAATTTCTCTTTTGTTTCATTTTTTTTTTTATTGACTGTTCTTTATTTTTTTTTTATAATAATAATTATTATTATTTTGTGTTTTTTCTTATTTCAACTCTCACTCTAATTGTAAGACTGGACCACGGTCAACGACATGATTGGCAAAATACGAATACGTATATGTATATATTATCTAATTATTTTCTTTTTAAATAAATTTTCAGAAAATTTCATTGACCAAGCGAATATATTGAATACGTGTTTCTAACTCGCCGAAAAAATCATAGGCTATTCAATATTAATTATTTCTTAGACTTCGACGATTCCTTCGTTTCTTATTTATTATTCATTCTCGATTGATATATCTTTCGTTTATTTATTTTTTTTTAAGTTTTCATCCAATAATAAATATTTAAAGATTTGTCGTACGAGCGATTTGTTTCGCTCGTAAATTTTTTATTTTTTATTTTTTATAACACGGGGCCTCTCGTGACTCGTGTATTTTATATGTAATTCACGGATTCAAATGTATTATAGTTCTCTTTTCTTTTTTTTTTCTTTTGTTTGTTTGTTAGACGTAATAATAATAATAATAATAAAGATAATAATAATAATAAATGATAATAACATATAATAATAATAATAATAATAATAACAATATATATATGTATATACTATAGTAATGTATATTTAAACGGTATAGGAAATAATAACCAAAGTTGACTTACCAAACCGACGAGTAGAAAAAATACTAGGAATGTGCGGCCGAGGACCGTCTGGCAGTAAACGTCGCCATATCCTACCGTGGACATTGTCACGATTAGAAAATACACGCAGGTCCAGTACGAAAGCTGTTGCGGATTTATGAACTCGAATGGATCCCCTGAGTTTTCAAGCTGCCGACAAAATTATTCTCCGATCATTAGGATCGATAATAAAAAGATCAAATAGAAATTATTCAAATATTTTTAACAAAATAAATATAAATTATTAAAAAAAAAAAAAAAGAACAATTGTTTTATCCCTGTCAGCAGGAATTCGTAAATATATATATATATATAATAATTATACTTAAAATAAAAAAAAAAAAAAAAATAAAATTACAATTTACGATATATTTTGTATATTAAAATAAATCGTAAAATCATTTATATATTTATATTATAAAATAAATCATAAAATAATTTTTTTTTCTTCTTCGGGCTTATTGTTAGTCCACTTTAGTAATTAAATTTAATAATACATGTATTTGTATAAGTAGTGGAACAAAAATATTTTTTACCAAATGAATGATGCCAGCAGCGGTCAACCAGACGGAGATGAAGATGGATACGAGTTGGGCGAGGCGAATGGAACTCGATGTCTTTAGAATGTTGAGGTACTGGAGGATGTCAGGGACCGTCATCAATCGTAGGGCTCGGAGGAATCTCAGTCCGATCCACGTCCGATCGAGATATATCGATACGAAGGACGGTGGTATCGTAAAGTAATCCACAAACGAGTACATCTCCAGCATGAACCACAGCTTGTCACTGGCGGCGATAAACTGTTTACGAGAAAGACAAGGGGAGAAAAAAATACAAAAACAAACGGCAAGAAAAAGAGAGAGAGAAAGAGATGAGATAGGTCTTCGCACTACAATTTCTATTTCTGTTTGACATTTTCATTTTCTTTTCTGTTCATTGACGTTACAATTCTAAAAACGTTGTTTACTTACGCGTATAAAAAAGTAGACCATAAAAAATATATTGAAAGCTAAGTCTATCTGCTGAGTAAAATTGCTGCTCCATTTCTGGCAACGTTCCACCTCCTCACTGTAACAGAAATAAAAAAAAATCAAAATCCCCGATCGTTGGATTATCGATAATAAAATTCTCTCTCTTAAAAAGAGAAAAAAAAAGAAAGAAAGAAAGAAAGAAAGAAAAGGGAGAGGGTAAGGTATTCTTTGTGGATACCGACTAAAGACCTTTGTAAAGACGAGACGAGTAATTGCAACAGGTGCAACGCACAAGGTTTTCTTTTAATCGATAGACAGACAGCAGAGAAACGCGAACAGCAAAAGAATAAAAAGGTTAAGTGTCGAGTTTACTCGTATCACATTTTTAAAGATCACTTTTTGTTTTCGTCAAATTAATTGTAATAATAAGAATAATAATGAAATAATAAGAAATAAAATAATCTTACGTGGAGGCATCGATGAAGTATATTATAAGCGATGCTATACTGAGAATGAAAACTAGCACCACCTGAAACAGAAAGTACAATGTGTCAGAGATACGATGAACGTGCTCTTTTAAGAATAAATAAACAATTGAAAAGAAAGAGAGAAAGATAGAGAAAGAGAAAGAGAGAGAGAGAGAGAGAGAGAGAGAGAGAGTGGGAGATAGGAAAACAGAGAAAGAAAGTAACAATAACGTCTTAAGTAAGTACTATAACCGATGATAGAGTAGTAGAACGAAAGGATGGAGGATGTAAAAACAAACACCAAGAATATATGTATTTCAGAGCGCGTACCGTCTAGAAAATAAATTCTTGCTTTAGCATAGAATAGGTAAGCGCGCGTCTATATGTTTGTATGCATTATGAAGCATCTTTACATACAACAAACATGCACATGCGTATAATATACACGAAACACAAACAGATATGAAAAAGCATAAACTTAAAGGTAAGATAGAGTTTGCTAGCTATCAAGAGAGAATCGACGAAACTCTCTCACAATTGTCCTAAAGCTCGTATATACCTTAACGAATACACATTAAAATAGATGTATTACATATATAGACGAAATGTAAATAACTAAAGAGGTATAGGCTTGTACGTATGTATATCCTAGGTAAGCTACATCGCTAGCAACGATCGATTTCAAGATTCTTGGCTCAGTTCCAGTTACTACCTCGTTAAATTTCAAACGATTTCCCGCGCCCTACGTTCAACAAAATCGGTAACTCTTGGTGTTTTATTTACAAATTTTCTTCTAATTGATATTCTTCTTTCTATGTCATTATTATTATTATTATTATTATTATTATTATTATTATTATTATTATTATTATTATTATTATTATTATTATTATTATTATTATTATTAGTTAGTTTCGTAGAAGCGGTCGCAGGACTACCACTACCACTAGCACTGCCACTGACACTTCCACTGCCAATGCCCTCGACCTGCACNTCTTTATTATTATTATTATTATTATTATTATTATTATTATTATTATTATTATTATTATTATTATTATTATTATTATTATTATTATTATTATTAGTTAGTTGTTAAGTTTACGATCGAATCACTTTATTCCAGCTCGACTCGTTAATTTTATTCAACGCGGTGCATATATTTCGACACCCGCTGATCGTTTCTCTTTACCCTCCTACCATCATCGTTCTTCCCACTCCCTTTTTTCACACACGGAGGATAACACCGAGTGAGTGACGAAAACAAATGCGATTTGCTTATTATTACTAAACTTTCTCTTCTATCGATTGAAACACAGAGAACTACATGATAATATACCATCTGAAATAATTCAAGCTGATTATAATATTTTGCATCTCTATGATTCTCTCTTTAAAATCTTGTTTATTTATGATATAATACTCCTATTTACATAAGTAGTACGAAGAAAAGTTTTAATCGCGCGCACTACGATTGGATATTTAAAAAGAAAAATAAACTCTTAAGAAAGACAAATTATTCGTGAATAACTTTGAAATAGGAGGAAAAAGAAAATGAAGAGAGAGAAGAGAAATATCGACTTATTGTTAGTCAAATAAATTCATTCGATTTTCTAATATCAATTCACTTCTACTTTTCCTTTCTTTTTTTTTCTTTTTTTTTCTTTTTATTTGTTATTTTTACAAAGAAAAGAAAAAAATCTGAGAGAAAAATGTCAACAAACTGATCGATACATTCTCCGAGTATAGTAGAAGAAAATTAAACGAAGGAAAATCAACGCTACTGAAATAAACATCAAGATAGAAGGAAGACTGAACGATAGAGAAAGAAAGAAAGAGAGAGTGAGAGAGATGGTGAGAGAAGGGTGAGAGAAAGAAAGGGAGATGGTATCGGAGGGGTGCAGTAAGAGTCAGTTTTATCAATAAACGCGTGTATGGTCGGAGGAGGATGTTATACCCGTGACCACCAGCACCGATATCGATCGGTGGCAACCCTCTCCGACTCCCTCGCTTCGTTCGTACCACGAGCTGCAACGTGTCGGCACCTATACGTTACCGGGTTAACCGAGTACAGTTGCACTCCAACGGGGGTAAGACAAGCTTTACGTTTGAACTTGCGTTTGACCTGGTCACGAGGCTGTCGCTTCTCTCTCTCTCTCTTTCTTTCTCTTTCTCTTTTGCTTCGCCTCTTTCAGCTAGAAGGGTGCCTCCTCTCTCTTATTCATTTTATTTCAAACCTTCAGTTAAGTTCCCTCCCTCCCCAACAACGAATGAAACGCGAGGTGGCGTTTCACTACTTTCCAATCCTTTGGCACACGCCCGAACACCGATTCCTCCTCTTTTTCTCTCTCTCTCTCTCTCTCTCTCTCTTTGTTTTTCCCTTTCTTGCTTATTTTTGGTCTCTCCGTCTTTCCCTGTCTATGTTTCTTTTTTGCTTGTTCTTGAAATATATATATGTACCAAATATATTATATATATGTATCTCTTCCACTTACTAGAGCATGATAGAAAGATATAGGTCAGTGGGTTATCTCTTCCAGGATCATTCTCCATTACCGGAAGCTTTTCTGAGCAATTGCATCTTCGAAAGGACAACTGGACCGAGGGTAAGTTCGTGACTAGAAGGAAGAAGTGAGAAGGGAAGAAGAAATAGATGGAAGATGAATTCGTACTTTTCGATCGTTAAGCTTCTTACTGACGACTTCGAGTTGTTTACGCGCTCTGTTTATTCGTTTCTTCCTATCAGGAATTAGAGAGAGATCCTTGAAAGAAACCGGAACGAACGGGGTTGGGTGGGCGAACCGAAGCGGTGCAATCTGGTAAAAGATTTATTTATCGCGAGCACCGTTCTACTCTACGGCGCCCCACTGTTTTTTAATTCCCATTGCTATTTTCAACGCAAGTAAATAAATAAATAA